TGTGCAGCCTCTATGGAATCAAGTTGCTTTTCTTCAGTATTGCAGAACAAGATCCTGGGAGGCTTAAACATAAAGTGTATGGAAATTTACCTAATTCAAAAATCCAGCATCCTGTATATCATAAAATAAGAAAGCTCAGAGGAGCTATATCTAAAAGCCGCTTATACAAACTGAGACTAATGATTGAAAAATGTTTTTTAAAAAACTCAAAAATGTTCTAAGCAGCTTTGGAATGAGTAATTGATGTTCATGGTATCCAGGGACAAATTAGTCATTCAGAAATTTAAGAAAGGAAGAAAAGCCCCATGAGTGTTTCTCAAAATCTTAATTTTCTTCTTTTTTCCTGTTGTTCCTGTTTATTGTAGTGATCTGTCTAATTTTTGGATAAATCATCCTCCCTTCATATAGCGAACATGACTCGGGGATATCTGTATGTTCTGGCATTTCCTGGGTATAGAACCAATCCTGAGGTTGGTCAGTAATGATATAAGGAGACATAAACCAGAGAAATTAACTCAGTCCTGCAGTAACTTGGGACTTTTTTTTTCTTGCATTCTAACAATACCCTAGATACCTGCTCCTAAGTCTTAATGTTGTTTTTATAAGCTTAGACACTACTGTAGCCATCATGCAGTGCAGTAATATGTCTTTTCATTGATTGCTCCCTTTCCTAAAACTAAAACCAACTCAAATTCTACCTTTTTAATCTAGTTCTTATAACTTAAAGATTTAAACCCCTGCCTATTGCAAACATTAATCTGTCCTAGAAAAACTATCTTTCTAAATCTACTTTTTAAAAAAAATATTTTTATTTCTAGGAGAGAGAGAGAGAGAGTGAGAGAGAGCGTGAGCAGGGGAGGGTCAGAGAGAGAGAGGGAGTCACAGACCGAAACAGGCTCCAGGCTCTGAGCTGGCAGTCAGCACAGAGCCCGACGCGGGGCTCGAACCCACGAACCACGAGATCATGACCCAAGCGAAAGTCGGACGCTTAACCGACTAAGCCACCCAGGTGCCCCATTCTAAGCCTACTTTTGAGCTCATTCCTCATCTTACAGAATGCCCTGATGCTGACTGCTACTTCAATCACTACTTGCCTTCTGTTATGATTTATTTATTTTTAATCCATAACCTTTCTCTATGGGAGTTCTTCTGGTCCATAACTTGGTTGATATCTGTCATCCCCTTCCCTGTCCCCAGGCCAAGAGTCCATCCTAAGACAGCTACTTTCTTTTCTCAGTCCTTATCTTTATATTTCTCTACAGTGCTATGAGAAATACAACTCTATTTTTAGTCAACGTTGGCACATTGTTTGATGCCTAATTTAAAGACCAATAGGCATTAAGCTCCAAGGGGCCAGAGACACTCATTTCTTTTTCTTGTAGGACATTATCTTCTCATTGTTAAATCCCTAATGAACAGTACCTTACCTGGCAATAGTAAACAGTCAAAAGTATACATAGGAAAGGGAAGAAAAGAGATGGACTGAATATGAAGTCAAACATTCTTGTGTTCCAACTTCAGTTTAACTTCTTGCGAGCTATGTGAACTTGGAAAGTTAAATTAAGGTCTGCGTAACTCACTTTCCTCACTATAAAGGGGAACTAGTAGTACTTTTCATATAAATGGGGACGGGTTAGCAATTTTGCCTCTGCAGACATGGTAGGAAAGGTTAAGTATTGTAACAGGGGCTCCTGAGTGGCTTAGTCGGTTAAGCATCCAACTTTGGCTTAGGTCATAATCTTGTGGCTCATGAGTTCAAAACCTGCATTGGGCTCTGTGTTGACAGCTCAGATCCTGGACCCTGTTTCGAATTCTGTATCTCCCTCTCTCTCTGCCCCTCCCCTGCTCATTATCTGTCTTTTTCTCCAAAATAAATTTAAAAATTTAAAAAGTATTGTAACAAAAAAGTAACATAAAATAATATTATTATTTAAAAAAGAGTAACAAAAACTGTAGTGACTTAAAAAATGTTTTTAATACTTTGTTACTTAAAGATTATAAAGAGTTCATATAACATTATTTTCATATGATAATCTACACAAAAGAAAACATATAAAAGTATATTTTTGTTAAAGAGCTACCAGGGGTGCCTGGGTGGCTGAGTTGGTTGAGCAACTCACTCTTCATGTAAGCTCAGGTCATGATCTCATGGTTTGTGAGTTTCAAACCCTGCATTGGGCTTTGCCCTAACAGCATGTAGCCTGCTAGCGATTCTCTCTCCTTTCCTCTCTGCCTCTCCTCTGCTTGTGCACATGTGCACATATGCTTGCTCTCTCTCTCTCAAAATAAATAAATAAACATTAAAAAAAGAGTGACCAATAATTACCTCAATTGCCTCTATATTGCAGTTTTTTCATACTTTCTTCATTGAGCATTTATGTTTAACAATAATATGTTTGAAAATTGAAAAGATATGTATGAATATATGTGTGTATATATACATCAAAAGTAAATAAACAACTAAAAAGATTTATATCATAATACAGAATAACTTTGTATCTTATATAATAACTGGGAGATGAAAGGAAAGAGGAATTTAACATTTCAGGTTAATGATTTAGTACATTTGTTTTCCTAAATACAAGATAAGTGGTTGATAATAACTTTTTATTATCTTTGGGAAATAATTACTTTCCCAAAGTAATGTATTAGTATTAATGTTACTTTAATCAAGTAATAATATTTTATTTTATTTATTTTTTAATGTTTTTATTATTTATTTTTGAGAGAGAGTGAGAGAGAGAGACAGAGTGTGACCAGGGGAGGAGCAGAGAGAGAGGGAGACACAGAATCCAAAGCAGGCTCCAGGCTCTGAGCTTTCAGCACAGAGCCCGATGTGGGGCTTGAACTCACAAACCACGAGATCATGACCTGAGCTGAAGTTGGAAGCTTAAGCAACTAGGCCATGCAGGTGCCCCCAATTAATAATAGTATAAATAAAATAACATAAAAGCCAGCTTTTATTATTCATATTTTTTAAATTCTAGATTTTAAACTAATCAATAGAATTGCTGTCTGTTATACATAAACTTCTCTTCTTGTACAAGAAATTCTACTAACTTTCTAAATATACAAGAAAGAGTATAAAAGTTTAAGATAAGTTCTGGTTACTTTGAATAGCTAATTGTTGATAATAAGTGTACATGAAGAGAAATATGGATGCAATATAGTTTACACTGTAATGATTCAAGGTCTCCCAAAAATATTGTGTAATTTGGCTCACTAGTTGTGCTGGTCTATTTCACTTGTCCTCATGGCAAGCAAGGTAATGAAATAGGAAATTATTCAAGCCAAGTAATTTCATTGGAGGTAATTCAGTTCAGTTGTAGTTTTTGAATCTCTCCAGGATAAGTCAAAATACACCTTAACTTACAAATATCCAAAGTTCTGACCTTTTGATTTTTCATAATTTTTTTTTACTGACATGAGTTATCCTTCCCACCCTTTTCCAGTTAGTAATTTGGATTCTTTCCTGAAGAGGATTTTTCCATGCACACCACACAAAACTATCCATCAACTTCTTCCCATGCTTAGGTTTTTATTCATCTTACCAACACCGATTTTTGTTGGAAACAAATCAGAAACTTAGGGAAACTACAAATGGAAAAGATATGACATGTCAACCAGTATAACTTCCTACAAACAGGATGACTTCTTATAATTTATTTATTTTATTTTATCATACTTGACATCATCATAATACCACCATTATCCTTTAATCATAGAGTGAGAATATGATGCTTGTTTAATGCTTAATATAATATTCAGTTTTATGTTTTCTCCATTCCCAGAGTTGGAGGAAAAAATGAAGAGAAATATTTTGGCTGCATAATTCTCCTCCCATCCCTGCCCATGCCAAGTCTTTTCCTTTGAGCTCTGAACCATTAACTCTTAGTGCACTTGGAGGCATTACTAAGCTAAGGGGATTTTCCTTACCAGGGAAGGAAAAGGAAAAAAGCCATTTATCATTTGCTGGAAAAGAGAGAAAGGGAAATCACCCAAATATGTTTTTCTCTGCTTAAAAACAGCTAGCACCACGCTCCTCTTATTAATATCTTCCTCCTCCAAACTTCCTGGTCTATGATTCTTAAGTCTCTCACTCAATTATTCAGCAAGTATGTATTCAAGTAATTCATACTATGTGGCAGGCATTCTTCTAAGTATAGGGTTTAAAAAATGAAATTCTATAATCCTAGTCCTCAAAGTGGTGGGGGGAAAGATGGCAAACAACAATCACATACTATGTAAAAAGGGGTTTAAAGAGGAATGCACACAGTACAATGGAGGTATGAAAATACATTACTAAGATTACAGAAAGTTCTCAGAGAATGAGTGACTGAGATCTGACTTGAAGAATGACTAGAATGAACTCATCAGGTGAGCTGGGCAAGCAAAGGGAACAGAGTATGTGAAAACTAGGAGCTGTGAGTAAATACAGCATGCTTGACAAACAGTTGTGAGTCATGAAATGCCTGGAAGAAAACAGTGAATTTGGAACTAGATGTTGTAAGATCTTTTATTTTTATTCAGAGAGATCTGGTCTGAGAGCTTGAAGAGTTTAAATAAAAAGGGATACCTATATCAAGTTTACATTTCTAAAACTTTATTCATCTTATTGGTATAGGTCATCTGCAAAAAATATTTTAAGTTTAAAATGTTTAAATCTAGATGATAGATGATTATAAACTATATTAAAACAAAAACAGGAGTATTTTTGGTATAATGAGCTAAGGACTTCTGAAATCCTTGCTTCCATAAAAGCAACTTTTTCAGAACTCTGGAAATTGACCAAAGGCCTACAACAATAATAGGAACATTTATTCAAGAAAAAAAAAATGGATGTCAGCAAGATGTCCAATTAAGATGTTACTCAATATATCCCCACTTTAACAACAACAGTTTGGTACCATTCACAGACAGAAGTACCTTTGTGGGGGATATATTTCAAAAAATCTAAGAAGAGTTTTGCCCACCTGTCATCAGGTAATAGGCATACAGACCTCAGTCTTGTTTGTGGTCCCAGCAGTGGCTTATGTCCTGGCTTTAGCTACTCTCAGTGCCCTTTCTCAAGACAATCATTCATGGTGAAGTGACTCTGTGGAAGTCCAGAAGTCCAGTGGAGAACTTTCAGTGCATAGCTGAAACACAAAAGTATAAATTTGGATGCACTGGAGAGCATAAGAGGAATAATTTTACTTTAGCCACATCACCATTCATCCAAGATGTCACAGCTAATGCCAAGAGAGATGTTCTTGGCCTAAGATTTCTAATAAGGGAGAAAGTAAGAGCATGTAAGTGAGTATTTCGTGCATACCTAGCTGGGTGAGATGCTGCCATCAAAGCCCACTTCTTTCTTTCCCCATCCACAATACTGAGTTTTGAGCTGCATTAGTTGGGGATGCAAAGAGGCTGAGAGAACAGCAGGTAGGACTCTTGGAGTGTGTTAAAGACTTATGCAACCATCACAACAGTCTAAGTTTAGAAAAATTTCATCACCCCAAAAAAGACATTCTGTACCCATTAAATAGGCACTCACTTTACCCATCACCCAGATGTAGGCAACTAGCAATTTAATTTCTTTCTCTAAAGATTTGCCTTCTCTGGATAGTTCATATAAATGGGGCCATATGAAATGTGGTGACTAGTTCTGTGACTAGTTTCTTTTATTTAGCTCAATGTTAACAAGGCCTATCCATGCCATAGGGTGCATCAGCATGTTATGTCTTTTTATTGACAAGCAATATTCAATTGTAGGAATGTGTCACATTTGGTTTATCTATTCATCAATTAGTGGACTTTTTTTTTTTTCTTTCACATTTTGACTACTAGGAATAATGCTTCTTGAGAATTCATGTGCACATATCTTTTTCACAGTCTGAGTACTGTGTTAGTCTGCTCAAGCTGCAACACCATAACATCACAGACTGGGGCACTTAAACAACAACAATATATTTTCTCAATTCTAGAGGCCATAATTCCAAAATCAAGGTGTTGGCAGGGTTGGTTTCTGGTGATTTCTCTCCTGGCTTGTATAAAACTGCCTTTTTCTTGGTCCTCACCTGGCCTTCTTTCTGTGCACGTACACTTTTGCTGTCTCTTCATCATCATCATCTTTTTTAAAAAATTTATTTATTACTTAGAGAAAGAGAGAAAGAGAGCATGACTGGGAAACAGGCAGAGAGAGAGGGAGGGAGAGAGAATCCCAAGCAAACCTTGTGCTGTCAGGATGGAGCCCGACTTAGGACTCAATATCACAAACTGTGCTATCACGACCTGAGGTGAAACCAAGAGTTGGACATTTAACCAACTAAGCGACTGAGGCACCCCTCTCTTACACTTCTTATAAGGACACCAGTTGAACTAGATTAGGGTCTTATTTTTATTACCTCCCCTAATCTTAATTATCTAAATAAAGGCCTAATCTCCAAGTATAGTCACATTGGAGGTTAAGGCTTCCATCTATGTTACTGGGAGGGAGAAAATTCAGTCCACAACATTCCACCTTCTGCCATCCACCCACCAAATTCACACCCTCTTACATGCAAAATACATTCACCTCATCTGTTCAGCCCCAAAAGCCTTAGCCTACTCCAGCATCAACACTGAGTCCAAAGTCTCATCTTAATATGATGAGACTATCTAGATCAAGTATAAATGAAACTCGAGGTATGGTACTGAGAGAAAAATTCCTCTCCATCTGTGAACCTATGAAACCAGATAAGTTCTTCCAAAATGCAATGGTGGGACAGGCAGAAGCTAGAGATTCCTTTCCACAAGGGAGAAATTAGAACAAAGAAAGAAGCGACAAGTCATAAGCAAGTCTAAAACCAAGCCTGGAAAATTCTATTAGAAGTTATGGCTCTGGAATAATCCTCTCTGACTGGATGTTCTGTCCTATGGGCTCCACCACTCCTTCCAGGCCCACTGGTGAGGCTTTTATGGAAGGCATAGCCATCCCTTTGGCTCTAGGTGGTGATCATGCTCTCTCAGCCATGGACTAAGCCTTGCCCTTGAAACCCTGGTCAGGAACAGCCTGGCCTACTGAAACAAGGAGGTGGTCCCACTTTCTATAACTGAGGAGGAGACAGACTTGCTCCTCAGGTCTATCTCTTCTGAGCCTGCAGTGGCAGTGAATTAATTAGAGCTCAGTTCATAACACGTATATATGTAGGAAGGAAATTACTTGGTCTTATGGTAATTCTATGTTTAAACTTTTGAGGAACTACCAGAGTCTTTTCCCAAATGGCTGAACTAGCAGTACACCAGGAGGTCCTGGAAATTTATTTCTTGTTTCAACAGTGTTTGTATGGAACAGACCCAGAGATGTCCCCTGTTCTATCCTCTAACCACCATCTTTTCAGGACCATCTTCTCAGCCATCCTCTGTCTCTGGGACCAGCCAACACCATATTTTTTGTTTGGCTTCTTATTGCCTATCAACCATGACTTCCCAGACTCATCAGAATTATTCTACTGAGCTGAAGGTTGCTGTCAACCACATTGTCAACATGGATCTGATGGCCTCCTACACCTATCTTTCTCTTGGCTTCTATTTTGACCATGGCAATGTGGCTCTAGAGAGTGTGGGTCACTTCTTCCCAAGTTAGCTAAGGGAAAGCAAGAAAGAGACAAGTATCTTTTGAAGATGCAAAACCAGTGCCAGGCCTCTGCCTTCTTCCAGGACATGCAGAAGCCATCCCAAGGTGAGTGTAGCAAAACCTGAATGCCATGGGAGTCACCATGGTTCTGGAGAAGAATTTGACCAGGGACCTTTGGGATCTGGGCACTCTGAGTCTGCCCATGCTGATGCTGGTTCTGTGACTTCCCAAAGAATGACTAATTAGATGAGCAGGTGGAACTGTTTAGGAAGATGGCAACTACCTATCACCTCAGGCTGGTGACACCCAGGATGGGTGAGTATCTCTTTGAAGGACTCACCTTCAAGCATGAGTAGGAGCCTCTGGAGCCCCACAGCCTTTGAGGCGCAACCCCTCCTCCTCTTGGTGCTAAGGCTTCTGCTTGGGCTTCTCCCTTCAGCCACAAGACAGCTTCTTAACAACTTTGGAGCCCTCTCCCAAATTGTGGACCAACTGGAAACAATAAAACTTTCTGCAACAACAAAAATAATAAAATTAAAATGGCTAAACTATGTTAGATCATTAGCAATGAATAAGGGATTCAATTTCTTCCCATCTTCAGCAACACTTGTTAGTGTTGAGGCTTGTCATTTTTTAAAAGATTTATTTTATTTTTTAGAGAGAGAGTGCACATCATAGGGAAGAGGGGCAGGAAGGAAAGGCCAGGGAGAGGGGAAAGGAGAAGATTAGAGATGGGAAATAGGGTGGGGACAGAATCTTAAGCGGACTCCACATTCAGCTCTGAGCCCAACAGCTCAGAGCCAGGGGTTTGATTGCACAACCCTGGGATCATGACCTGAGCTGAAATCAAGAATCAGATGCTCAACCAACTGAGCCACCCAGGTGCCCTAAGGCTTGTCACTTTGAAGGAACTCTTGAGCACACTCACTGCCATCATAGTTTTAATCACAATCTTTCACATTCCTTCCACTGCCCTTTACTGACTTGTTTGCCTTTCTCTATTGTTTCTTCTCATCAACGTAGGGCCAGCTGACTCCCTGAAAGCAAAATATGAAAGAGACCTTGTGAAATTATTTAGAGTTTCTATTTATTAAAACAACAACAACAACAACAACAACACCTTTGTGACATTTGCCATCATGTGGTTAAATTGGTTTTGCAAGGCAAGCCCTTTGATGCTGGTTAATTTTGTTGAGGCACTCTCCCTACTGTTTACTTCCAGATAGTTTCTGATTGCCTAGAATTTAGCTAAGTGAGCCTTAGCAAAAACTTTCTAATGTCAGAGCATTTATACATAAGGAGAAAATTACATTCTTTAAAAATCAACATAATTAATTAATATAACAGCATAAATTATGTAATTGCTCAGTAATTTGTGTTGTTTACATAGCAAATTAACTCACAATTTTAAAACAAATTTGTGCCCTTACAATAACCTCTTCATAGGCACCAATATGGGGCACATCTAAATACCAAGGGGAAAATAAATGAGGTAGAATAAATATTTTTTATTTAGTTAACTGTGAATTTTCTTAATAGCCCAAGTAAAACTGGTGCTTCTGGTTTCCAGCTGTGTAGTTCCTGTCTGTAATTTTTTTAAATGCTTCTATTTTGGTTCACCATGGTCACATAAACCTGGGATATCCTCTTTAACTGCAGGTTGAAGATTATCAATATCAGACTGGAATTATGTCATAAAACATTACTGGCTGATTCATTAGAGCTGGTGTTGTAATGTTTCTTCAACTCATAAAGTGCATTTACTACGAAGCCAGAGCTTCATAGATTTTCTGATATACAGATCTTTCCATGGTAACAGAGATGATCTTGTCATTTTATAATTTGCTAGACTGAAGTAATTCCCAGGCAAAGCACATGTATTGAGAAAGTCAGCGGATGCTCACAACAGGGGAGAACAAATTCCAGGAGCAAAGTAAAGACGTTACAAAAGCCTAAAATTGCAGTCTTTATCTCTAAGGCAGGTGTTTCAAAACTGGACTGGTCCCAGATATTTTTTTTCCTTTTTGGTTATTGTTTTTCTAGAAGAAGTTGAAAAGGATGTTAAAGATAAGGCAGGTGTTAAGATAAGGTTCCTCAAGAGGAATGACTCATCAACAGCCAATCAGGGGTTTTGTATCTGTGACCATGACTAGGGGTGGTGGCTTGGCTTTGGTTATGAAAACTCCCTTCGGTTCAGAGAAAACAATATTTTTAAACAAACATTTGAAATAATTCCCACTCTAAGGAGGAAAAAATGTCTCCATAGCCACTTGTACCAATTAGATAACCAAGAATTTATTACTAAGTCACTTTAAAGTTGGTAGCTTGGATTCCATCTTCGCCTATTACATTAAGGTATATTATATCCTTAATATTTAAAATTGTATAAGATGATGGATTAATTTCTTAGTACATCTGAACTGAATTTGTCCAAATGAATTATTAACACCAAATATGTTAATAAGTGAATCAGAGCAAGGAGAAACAAGCACAGAGTTTAAGGTGTTCAACATTAGTGTCTTCCAGAGGTATTC